CAGAACCTGGCTGGAGAACCTGGAGAACCTGGCTGGAGAACCTAGCAAGAGAACTTGGACACAGAACTTGGCTGGAGATTGTGGCTAGAGATCCTGGCAAGGCTGCTGATCAACTGAATGCTGTCTCCGTGTCATTCCTTCTTCGCCGACTCCGTCCACACCTTTGGGGACCCCTGGACCTGCTGGGGTTGGACCCCGGCACTGCATGCCCCAGCCTGGGGATGTTGCAACCTGGGCATGTGCCCTGACTGGGAATTGAACCATGATCTGATTCATAGGTCGACACTCAACCACTGAACCACGCTGGTTAGGCACTTTACATATTTTTTAAATTTTGTCATTAGAAAATGTATTTGTTAAGGTAAGAGGATAGAGCATATTTAACAGTTAGCTTTCAGATAATTCAAGTATTTTGACATATGATAGGTGAGCCTTCATTTGTACTCTGATCTGGCCCAGTAAATATTAAGGGTGGCCTGTTCCACCCCTCTTTAGGTACCTATTTTGATTTTGTTTTAGTCCTTTTATTGTTTTACTTAAAGTATAGAGATATATTATATATAAAATGTCCATCCAGCCATAGCTGGTTTGGCTCAGTGGATAGAGTGTCAGCCTGCAGACTAAAGGGTCCTGGATTCGATTCCAGTCAAGGGCACATGCTGGGGTTGCAGGCTTGATCCCCAGTGGGGGCTGTGCAGGGGGCAGCTGATCAATGATTCTCTCTCATTATTGATATTTCTATATCTCTCTCCCTCTCCCTTCCTCTCTGAAATCAATAAAAATATATTTTTTAAAAATGTCCATCCATTCTTATACAAAAGGTAACATTCTGAAAGAGTCCTGGGTAACATTCCAGTCAAGGGTATGTACCTTGGTTGCAGGCTCCTCGCTGGCCCAGGCCCTGGTTTGGGCTCATGCAGGAGGCTACCAATCAATGTGTTTCTCTCACATCAATGTTTCTCTCTGTCTTTCCCTCTCTCTTCCACTCTCCCTAAAAATCAATGGGAAAATATCCTTGGGTGAGAATTTTAAAAAGAAGAAGAACAGAACTTAACAACCAAGAGATTGAATTTCAAAATGGCAGTGGAGTAAGTGGAAGCTACACTAACATGCTTCCAGGACCAAACTGGAATTATAACTAAAATACAGAAAAACCATCCTGAATAATCAACTGAAGACTAGCTGAAGAGAACCCTGATAAGCAAAGACAAAAAGTGGAGATTGCATACAGACAGACAGAGTAGGAAAAAATCACTGTCAGAGAACCAAAAAGAAAAACAATTTAAAAACAGGACAGCTTAAGGGAGCTGTGGGACAACATGAAACATAACAATATTTGTATAATAGGAGTGCTAAAAGGAGAAGAAAGTGACAAGGGATAGAGAATGTATTTGAAGAAATAATGGCAGAAAACTTCCCAAACCTGGTGAAGGAAAAAGTCACACAAGTTCAGGAAACACAGAGAACCCCAAGCAAGAAGAACCCAAACAGGTCCATGCCCAGACACATCATAATTAAAATGTCAAACATTTAAGACAAAGAGGATCTTAAAGGCAGCAGGAGAAAAGCAATTTGATATCTACAAAGGAGCTCCCATAAGGCTCTCAGCTGATTTATCATCAGAAACTCTACAGGCCAGAAGGGAATGGCATGAATTATTCAAAGAAATGAAAAGCCAAGATCTGAAACCAAGACTACTATATCCAGCAAGACTATCCTTTAAAATAGATGGTGAAATAAAGAGCTTCCCAGACCAAAAGAAAAAAAAAAGCCTAAAGGAGCTCGTTACACTACACCAGCACTGCAAGAAATGCTAAAGGGACTGCTGCAATGAGAAGAAATAGAAAGAAAAACAAATGGGACAACATCAAAATAAAAAACTTCTGCACAGCAAAAGAATCCATCAACAAAATGAAAATGGAGCCCTGACTGGTTTAGCTCAGTGGATAGAGCATCGGACTATGGACTGAAGGGTCCCAGGTTTGATTCCAGTCAAGGGCACATGCCTGGGTTGTGGGCTCAATCACCAGTTGGGGGTGTGCAGGAGGCGGCCAATCAATAATTCTCTCTCATCATTGAGGTTTCTCTCTCTCTCTCTCCCTCTCCCTTCCTCTCTGAAATCAATAAAAATAAAAAAAATAAAATGGAGCCCACTGTATGGGAGAACATATTTGGCAATGATACATTTGATAAAGAGTTAATACCCAAAATGTATAAGAAACTCATACAACTTAACAGAAAGAACACAAACAATCCAATTAAATGGGCAAAGGACCTAAATAGACACTTCTCCAAAGTGGACATACAGAAGGCCAAGAGACACGAAAAATGCTCAAAGTCCCTGATCATCAAAGAGATGGAAATTAAAACAACAATGAGGTATCACATCACACTGGTCAGAATAGCTACCATCAACCAATCAACAACTGACAAGTGCTGGCAAGGATGTGGAGAAAAGGGAACCCTCTTGCACTGCTGGTGGGAAGTCAGACTGGTGCAGCCACTAAGGAAAACAGTATGGAGTTTCCTCAAAACATTCAATATGAAACTGCCATTTGACCCAGTGATCCCACTTCTAGGAATATATCCTAGAGACCCGAAACACCAATCAGAAAGAATGTATGCATCCCTATGTTCATAGCAGCACAATTTACAATAGCCAAGGTCTGGAAACAGCCCAAGTGCCCATCAGCAGATGAGTGGATAAAAATGCTGTGGTACATTTATCCCATGGAATACTAGGCAGCAGTAAAAAAAAGAAGGATCTCTTACCCTTTGAGACAGCATGGAGGGGCCTGGAGAGTATCATGCTAAGTGAAATAAGCCAGTCAGAGAAAGACAAGTGTCACATGAACTCAGTCATATGTGGAATCTAATGAACAAAATAAACTGTTGAACAAAATACATCCAGAGACATAGAAGCATAGAACAGAGTGCAGAATCTTGGAGGGAAGGCCTAGGTTGGTGGGTGGGAAGTGACCAAACAAAGAACTTGTATGCGTCCATGCATAACCCATAGACACAGGCACTAAGGTGGTGAAGGCCTAGGGCGGGGGGTGAGGCAGCTATAAGGAATCAATGGGAGAAAAGGGACATACGTAATACATTCAACAATAAAGATTTATTTTAAAAACACAAAAAGAGAGAGAAAACCAAGATGGCGGCATAGGTAAACAATACCGGAGTTTGCTGCCACAAACAACCACTTCAAAAATACAACTAAAAGACGGAATGGACATCACCCAGAACCACAGGAAGGCTGGCTGAATGGAAATTCGATAACTAGAAGGAAAGAGAAAAGCACACTGAGACTCAGAGGAGGCGCAGTGCGAAAGTTAAATACTAAGGTGCGGAGGTGCATGCGGAGCGGGCTGACCGCTGAGGGCATGGTTGTCGTTTTCAATCAGAAGGGAGTCTCAGGCTCTGAGCTCCAGTTCCGGGTGAGTCTCTAGGGAACCACACACCC